CCCGCCGAGCAGGGAGCCCGATGTGGGGCTCGATCCCAGGACCTTGGGATCATGACCTGAGCCGAAGGCAGACGCTTAACAACTGAGCCACCCAGGTGCCCTCATCCCCTACATATCTTAATCCCTGGGTCTCCTACTTCACGCTGGCCTCTCTCCTACCTCCGTGTATCCAAGAGGGCGCCCCTGTCACAGGGGGTCTGGCAGCCCGCCTCTGCGAACACCAAAGACAAGCCTACTCTGAGAACCTCTTGTGGTTCTGAGCTCGGCAAAGGTGCTTCTGAACTCAACAGCCCCCTTGCCTGCCTCAGGGTGAGGATGCACCAAGGCTGGGCGGAGGGCAAAAGAGCCTCTTGGAGGTTTTCCCCGCATGGCCCTCCCTTCACAGACTGGAGAACTTCAGCTGGATCTGGGGTTGTTAACAACACTTCAACCAGGCTTTTGTTCTTCTGACGCTATACATTCAGCCTGTTTTTCCACTGAGAGCTGGAATGAATGCCAACATCTCTTTGGAAGTTTGATGGTACATAGCAGACTTCTGTTACAGTGCTGTCAAAAGCGTGACAGGCAAAGGCACCACTGGTGAGGGGGAGGGGAGGATACTACATGGAGAAAATTTTTTATTTCAATAGTATTTTTTTTTTTTAAGATTTTTTATTTATTTATTTTTTAGAGAGCGAGCGAGAGAGAAACAGCATGAGAGGGGAGAGGGTCAGAGGGAGAAGCAGGCTCCCCGCTGAGCTGGGAGCCCGATGTGGGACTCGATCCCAGGACCCTGGGATCATGACCTGAGCCGAAGGCAGATGCTTAACCATCTGAGCCACCCAGGTGCCCTCAATAGTATTTTAATGAGTAAAAAATCTATAAACAAAATAGTAAAGCCAGGATTTCACAGATATTATTGCTTATAGTGAGGAAAAGTAAAAAAAAGAGCTCTATTAAAATCAATTTAAAGTAAAAGACTAAGAAAATAAGAATACTGGTAGTGAGCAGGCACTGTAAAAATCAAGAAGGTGGCAAGAATATGGCTGCCATTGGGGCAATGGCACAAATTCTCAAGGCTCCCTTGGTCTCAAACTGCAGCATGGTCTTTAAGATCCTTTAAAAAGCATAGTCCATTACTCCCACGGAAATAGAGGCTCTTGTCTGACCGGACATGCACCTACAAGTGCATGCCAATCTCTCTCCTGATAAACTGCAAGCCCAGGCACTACAGGCCGCATCTGTGTGGTGCAGGCATGCTTCCTGTCCACTGTGCACCACCTGTTGTCTGCTTTGAGCTTGGCAAGGGCGTGTGTGTGTGTGTGTGTGTGTGTGTGTGTGTGTGTGTGAATCTTTTGACACTGACACAAAATGCAGAGCGTCCCTGACCGTCTTCCTCTGACTCTGGGGGACAGGAGTTGGCCATGCAATCAATATAAACCCCCGGTCACCTGGAGGCTCCTTCTGCACTGGCTCCTGAACTCTCCTTTGAGAGCCCAAAGTTAGGAACTCAGTATCAAATAGAAAAGCAGAGCAGGGTAAATATGGTTTCTGCTCTGCTACCCAGTCTAAAATTTATACCTTAATTGTGTGATACAGTTTTTGGATGAGCTGGATAAAGTGACCGCCAGAAAGGAATCATCATTGCTGGTTGATGCTCCCCAACAACCAGCCAGTTTATGGTCAATAATCCCACCCAGTAAGTTAACTCATCCAGTATCTAGTATATGTGCTCTCAGTTACCTTGAAATATACACCAAGAAGTTTCATGATTCAAGGTTAAACCTTTTTGGCTGCTTTACTAAGATGTTTTACCTTGCTCTTCTGGATGCTTACTTGCTTATATATCTGCCTCAAGTATTTTTCTGGATAAAGTTACAAGGGCTCATCTCTGTGGCAAAGAACTTAAGGGCCTCGGCTGTCTCCTTGTCGATGCACTGAAGCAGACACTAAATTTTACAACTTGCAATGTTGACCTCTGCGCCTGGAATTCAGAAATGCATCCAAACCAAGATCCTGAGCTTCCATAAGAAAACAACAATCCAGTCTCCAGATTGGCTGACTTTTTGTATTTAATAGATATTTAAGGAAGCTGGACTCTGGGTATACATAGGAAGTACAATATTGAGCTCACTTCCCTGCTTAATTTTTAAGAAAGGTTTGGTTGACAACATTCTTTAAGGAGGATGGCCTGAAGAATAGGGTATTCTCTCAGTCTTCTGGAATCTACCTCAGGTCAGCAGAGAGCTCTAAGCCGCCAGACAATTTGGCCTTTGGAAGAACCTTTGTGGCCACATTGCCATGAGCCTGCATCAAGGGGCTTCGTGAAAGAGAACCTGATGAGTAATAGCTCACTCCGTGCCTTTTGAGGACTTCTGATCTCATGTCAGAGTTCTCTCTAGGAAGATTCTCAGGAAATTTCTCTCTCATCTTAGCACTGGGAGTCATTCGCCTTCACCTGAGCAATGAGTAAGTTTTCACCTTGTGGACGGTATGACTCACGGTACTGAGCACCCCTCCCTCAGTGCAGGCTGCAGGAGCCAAGAGCAGGGTCTGGGGCTCACCTGCAGCAAATGAACAGAGCCCCCCTCCATGTGCTTAGTGTATGAATACCACCTGTGACTTTATCTTTTCTGTTTACATCTCCACTTTAAACTCTCTCAAGCCCAAATTCTTTATCTGTGAAAATGAGATTATAAGCCTATCATGAGAATTTTAAAAGATGTATACAAACTGCTTTGTATTCCCTGGTACACATACACAGTATATTGTAATAATAGCTAATATTTATTGAGTGCTGACTGTCCCATAACTTATTCTAAGCACTCTGTAAGTAGATTTAATCCTCCTACAACTCTATGAAGTTGTTACTAGTATTATCCCCATTTTTTAGATGAGGAAACAGAGGCCCACGGGTTTTTAAAAAATTGACTCAAATCTATCATGGGCAAAACTTGGATTTGAACCCAAGTCCCCAACTCTGATCCCACTACTATGGGCTACTACTTTAAAGCTATTTTTTTGGTCTTGTTTTTCCTGTCAATTATTTGCTTATTTAAGGAGGCTGGGAGCAGTCTCACTTAGGGTCACCAACTTGTCCAGAATTTCCCAGTTTTATAACTCAATGGTCCCTTTCCCAAGATACCACTCAGGGGTTTTCTCATTATGTTCTTGATCTTTGTAGCAGGACCATCGCTAGTACACACAGATATCTTTGTGCAAATAAGGAAGAAGGGGTATCCATTTATTTTTAACACATTTTTTTATCTTCTTTCAATGTATTTATGTAAACTGCCTTAAATCCTTTCTAGAATAAGATGGGGTACAGGGAGACAAATATAAATACAGAACTTCACACTGTGTTTAACACTCTTAGAGTTACGGGTATTAATATATATATTACCTTTATATCCTTGTTCTGTCTCCCTGAGATCAATTTTGGTTATTGGTTTGAAATCAGTATCCCATAATCGAATACACCCATCTCGTCCACCAGTGGCAAAGCCTTCTTCACAAGCATACATGCTAAAGATTCCAGCCTGTTGAGTAATGCAGATAATACTCAGTACTGCAGTGATTCTAAATAGTCATTATAGTTGGATCGTCACGATAAAAAAAAAGCAAAAACAAAACAAAACAAATTTTAAATACCTTGTTCTCTATTGAAATCCTGACAATAGGCCAAGTAGCCATTTATAATATCCTTCATTTTGGCTAGCTCAAAAATTAATCATAATTACTACTAAAGCAAATTAGTTCAAATGTTCCTTTATCATTACTAAACTGATGGCAATTAAAAAAAAATATTCACTAATTCCTTGGTTAAAGTACATATGAAGATCAAACTCCTTTATGTGACTACTGATCCTTATAAAGAAAAGGTAACAATGGAGGTGTTTCATATAAATTGCCACTCAAAATAATCAAGCAAAGATATGCCAGCTAGGTACATAAACACTTTCACTGGTAAGCAGGTACCTGAAATGCATCTCAATGAGCTCAAGAAGGCACCACCTGAGCCTAACTGAAGACAAATTACATTTGTGTTCGTTTGTTAGGGATTATACAAAGACGCTTTTTTTCACATGGGAAATAGTTTCATAACTTAAAGGTGCTTTTCCATAGGAAAATATTTTACCTGTTTATTGAAAAGTGCTGCAAGAATATACTGCTGACATAAGATCCAGTGTGAAAAGAAATTAGGTTACTATGGCAGCTGCTTTTATGCACGAGGACAACTACTGACCTCTGAATTGTTTTAAGAGCTGTTTCATATTTAGTGAAGCCAAGAAAATTGGTTCAACATACAAGACAATGAAAGGCCTAAAATTTCATAGCTCTTTTGCTAAGACGTGCTTCAACTTTTCTTTATAAAAATTTTTCACCCTATTTCCATTTAATACAATATAGGCTTCAGCTTTCACATCTCCCTATTCTTCTGGGCATTTCCACTTCATCATCTATAGATATGGCAATGTAACCATTATCATATGTGTCAAAAGAGAGCAGAATGGTCAGAAGTAAAGTTTGCCCATGTTCTTACAGAGCAGACCATCAAAAGAGAGCAGTTTATCAACGGTTTCTGTTTGCGTTTTAAGAGCTTTCCGTTTGATTCAGACATGGAGGTGATGCTCACTCATTCAGAGTGAAGAAAAATCTACCCTTACTAACCAACATAAAAACAACACTTGTCTACACTCTTGCTATTCAATGCACAGGCCCCAGGCCAGCAGCAATGGCATCATCCCAGACTTACGAAGTCAGAATCTGCATTTTAACAAGATCCCCAGGAGATTCATAGATACCTTAAAGTTTGAGAAGTATTGATCTATAAGAGAAAAAGGATGATAAAATAGTTCTATTCTTCCAGATGTTGGTGAATAATAATACTAATCAACCAATCAATAATTGAGGTGAAGGCTAAATTATTAAGCTTTTGAAATACTTCTTTTAGGTGAACAAAAATAATTTGGGAAATCTTTCGTGAATGTGTTGAGTGTTCATCGGAGTCTGCTGATTCTAAAGCAACAGGAAAAAACACGTATCTGTGATATCAACTTATTTAATAAATAATCACCCAATTTCCACATGGACATACTCACACTGTGTGCTCCTTGAATGGTGCGGACTAAATTGAGCCCTTTCCAGACATAGATGTCTCCATTTAAAGCACCAGAATAGGTGATGTCTTCTTTGGCACATGCAAGGCAAAGGATGGTCTGAAGATCCCCTGTTTTGCCAAATATCCCTCTTTTTGCAGTCAGGGCATTTCCACAGAGTGTCCAAAACTGGAAAATCATAAAAAGAATAGATCCAAAAATAATGTATTCATTCTGATGCATCACATTACTGGTATTTGCTTCTATTTCAGTACATTTTTTAAGCTAAATCTTTTATTGTCCCCTGCCCTTTTTTAAATTAATTTTTAATTTAAATTCAATTAATTAACATCTAATGTATTATTTGTTTCAGGGGTACAGGTCTGTGATTCATCAGTCTTACACAACACCCAGCGCTCACCACAACACATACCCTCCCCAATGTCCATCACCCAGCCACCCCTTCTCCCCACCCCCCTCCACTCCAGCAACCCTCAGTTTGTTTCCTATAGTTAAGAGTCTCTTATGGTTTGTCTCCCTCTCTGGTTTCGTCTCATTTCATTTTTTCCTCTCTTCCCCTATGATCCTCTGCCTTGTTTCTTAAATTCCACATATGAGTGAGATCATATGATAATTGTCTCTCTGACGGACTTATTTCGCTTAGCATAATACCCTCTAGTTCCATCCATGTCATTGCAAATGGCAAGATTTCATTTTTTTGATGGCTGCATAATATTCCATGTGTACACACACACCCCACATCTTCTTTATCCATTCATCTGTCGATGGACATCTGGGCTCTTTCCATAGTTTGGCTATTGAGGACATTGTTGCTATAAACATTGGGGTGCAGGTGCCCCTTCGGATCACTACATTTGTATCTTTGGGGTAAATACCCAGTAGTCCATTTGCTGGGTCGTAGGGTAGCTCTATTTTCAACTTTTTGAGGACCCTCCATTTGCGTCACTTGCTATAGCTGAACTAGGCACACATAATTTAACTTGTTCTACTGCAACCAACAGAATTGCAAAACCTTTTAGCCAACTGCTAGCAACATAAGAAAAACTTTTAACGGCATTTTTTAAACTTTCAAAGTTCTAAAATTCCCAAACTTTACTAACTGCTTAATGGTCATTAAATACAAAAGGTCAATGTTCTCAGAGTTGGAATAAAGTGAACAAATCATCAGGTCTTTAATTTTTAGTCAAATTACAGAAGCAGTATAGGTTCATTGTAGAGAAGTTTAGAAATACAGAAAAGTATAAAGAGGAAAACGGAAATATCTACAACGTCCTGCTAACGTGTTGATGTACCTTCTAGACATTTTTTTTGGTGTATATATATATGTATATATATGTATTTGGAAATAATGTCTTTATAATTTAAAAATGTGATAAATCTTCACTGCAGAAATGTTACTCAAGAAGTTTTCTAAATATGAGTTATATTTTCATATGGCCAAATAACTGATTAAGCTTTTCAGTTTTCATTGTATAATTTATCATGTGGAAGAATCATTAAGCATAAAGCTTGAGCTACTTTATAGAAAGCAATAGCGAGACTTCCATGGTTATCTAAGAAATTAAGTATTTTGCTTTGACATGGTTTCTTAAATGTATGAACTGGTATAACTTTCCTGCTATGCATTTAGCCCCTCAGTTTATAAGTGCTCTTTACATTTACTTAATCTTCATAATACCCCTGAGAACAGGCTAAAGCAGCTATTCCTATCATCCCCATTTGGAACTGAGGGCAAAGGGGCCAACTTGGTTTGCTGAAGGTAAGGGTTAAATGGGTGTCTTACATGAGAAAATATTGAAATATTGATCTTTGCCTTGAGAACTTTAAATCTAATGAAGATACTTAAAAAGCAAGAGACAATTTCAAGGAACCATATTCAGACTACATACAAGTGGCAAGAGAATTCAAAAACAGAGAACCGTGTTGAATTACTTGGAATGAGCAAGGCTAGGATTTGGATCAGTGGTGAGGAAGAAGTTACATCAGGGATCAGGAGAGCAGGATTAGGCAAATCCAAGTGACACAAAAAAAAAAAGTGTGAGGAAAAATCAGTGACAAGCCAAATATTTTGTGTCTGTAGGCGAGGAAAAATGGTGGCCCTCTTAGAGTAGTTAAGTACTGAGGGAAGCAGTTCTGGGATGGTTGTACCACCCGGGAGGTCTGGGATTCTGGTGGCTATGGAGGAGGGGGTCCTTAGGAAGGATGAGAGGCAGGTGTGCAATCATGTGAGACAATACAGGATTCTTCCTTCATTAGAAGGCAAGTATCACTCTGGTGATTGGTTTCTTTGGGCACGTACTACTTTTAAGAAAAGTACACATGAAAAGAACAAGATCTGGGGAAAACATGGTTAGATCTAAGCTTTGGGAAAACATTTAAGTATTAACTTGGAACCTGAACAAAATACTAGATGTAAACACTTACTGGTAGTACAAACATGCCAAAACCCAAAGAAGGTAACCATTTCCTTTTCTCACCATGTCTCCCATACATGAAGATTTAAAGGAGAGTAAAAATTTTGTAATCATTATCCCTAAAGAAGAGTAATTATTTTGTAGTTATTAGTTAATTTAGAATGTGCACCTCTGATCTGAGTTATGGAAACATTTTTTTAAATTTAATTTAAATTTTAGGTATTTAACATATAGTGCAATATTGGTTTCTCGAGTAGAATTCAGTGATTCATCACTTACATAATACCTAAATTACTGAAATATTTCTAATGGACAACCACAAAACATAGAGAGTCCATCAGCCTCAGACGCATAGGTTTTAAATCACCCAGTAGGAGGCAACAATGCCAACATGAAACATTCCAAATAATCAAATGACTCTCTAAAAAGGCGCATACAGATATAATGCCAGGATAGGTAAGAGATTTTTTGTAGAAATGGCAAATCTCTGATTCTCTCTTCTTGAGAAGCACTTCCTATTTGGAAAACAGTGAAAATTTAGGGTAGCAACACATCAGTAAATCCACATTAAATGAACAGACATCGTTTATCTTCCCCAGTCTCCATTCCAGATTGTAATGCTAATTTTGTTAGAACTGGCAGGTACCCTGGAGTTCATCTGGCTCTAGGTAATCTCCAATGTCCCTTCTATCTATGACTAGGGACTGGAGAAGGATCAACAATATCCACAAACTTGGTAGGCTCATTTACTGTGAAACCAAGCAAGCATGACAATGCTCAACTGCTACTGTTTTCAAGCGTTCATTTCAGGTAATTGAAATTTGCCTGTCTGCCAAACACTGGGAATTTGCAAAAACAGAAAGGATTTCACCCTAGCTACACAATTTCACATAAAAATATTTTCTTGGAGTGCATTGATGATTTTTGCATTCAACTTGTGACTGGAATCATTCATTTGCTGTTAGGCAGGTTTGGGGGGGAAAGGTGGGGATCCTGGAATTGGTTATAGAAAATACAGAGAGTGAAAATATTTGTTGAAGGCTACTAAAACTTGTGGATTTCTTTCTAAACAAAATAAAGATGGCTGGATGGGCATTTGCAGATCATTCCATTTGAAGTAAAAGTACTTATTTTTGCTTAGAAAAAGATGCCTGGGGGCACCTGGGTGGTTCAGTCGGTTAAGCATCTGCCTTCAGCTCAGGTCATGATCCTGGGGTCCTGGGGTTGAGCCCCACACTGGGGTCCCTGCTCAGCTGAGAGTCTGCTTCTCCCTCTCCCACTGCCCTTCCCCCTGCCTGTGCTCTCTCCCTCTCTCTCAAATAAAATCTTAGAAAAAAAAAGAAAAAGATGCCTGTCTGCTAAAACATAATTAACAAATTTAATGGGATAAACAGCTCTGTTTCCAAATGAAGCTCCAGGGTTTTATGTGTCTCTGTTTTTAGAATTAACTGATTAAAAGAGTTAACCAAGGATGGAAAGAAATAGGGAAGATGCTGGAGAAATCACCAATTAAGCAGCTAATCTATTATTTTTCATAATCTGTTCGTGGGGGGGGGGGGAAGTCAGGCCAAGATGGATCACTGAAGAAATAATTTCCAAGTGGAAAGACAGGGAGCCAGAGACTGAATTTAAATCTTATCTGTGCCACCATATTTGTGATCCCAGGAGAAGGGGAAAAAATTAACATTATTGTGCCCTTACTGGTTCCACACACTGTTTAATGTAACTCTTAATAAATTCAGAAGGTAGTGATCCACAACCCTCTGGTTTTTTTGTTTTGTTTTGTTTTGTTTTTTTTGAGAGAAATTCAGCCTCAGGGAGATTAAGTAGCTTTCCCAGAGTCAAGTAGAAGGAGATAACAATGAGGATTCAAAGTCAAATAACCTTCTAGGTCTTGGCTTCTTCACCTTAGGATATGCAAATTGGATGATGGCTCTGGGGCCAGAGTCCCAGACTTCTAGAGAGCCACCAGAGCCTAATGGAAACCAGGCTTATCATGATCTCACATAATTCTTTGATTGTGGGTAAGAGAATAATTCAGTGCCTTTGCAATTTGTTAGACTGAACAGAAACTCATGTTGGCAGATACATATATCTTTGATTAATAAAAATTGTAAAGGGAATTATTTAATGGCTAATTATTTTCTGGCCAAACTTTTTCAAAATACTGGTTTCCTAGGAAAATTAGAAAAGAGGGTCAAAAGAGGGTCTTCAGTGATGAAAACATTGATAATCTTTGAACATATAATGGGCTAAGGACCTTTCTGCTCCCTAGTCCCAAGATTCTATGGGTGACCAATGCCTCCCCATTAACTCCTGACTGAAGTGCAACCCCACCCCTACTTTGAGTAATGCTGACTTCCAAGCTCTCCCTACCAAACTCACCTACCCACCAAGGCTCGGCTCAAATACCATCCCCTTCCTGAAACGCTTAACACTCCTCTAGCCAGTTGGGATCTCTCCTTTATCACTAGAGAATTTTGGTTTTGCCTCTCTTATAGATTGTCCTGTTTTATGTTTTAATTGCTTTTGTCAAGCAAATTGAAAGTAGGGCCAGTTTTCAGTCCTTCACATGATAGAAATGCAACTAATGTTTATCAAATTTAATGAGTCTTTCAGGTGGACTACATAAAACAATGAAGGACCCTCCAACTGCTGCTGAAGCAAAAAGTCCCTGTATTTGAGCAAACATATTCTCAGGTTTTTGCACAAGGATAACAAAACGTTAATGAAGACCTAAGGTATTGGCAGGAC